TTTTTATATTTTTTATTATTTTAAATATATACACTAAATGTTATTAAAATAAATATTAAATATTTTAAATATATTTTATTTATTTTTAAGATATTAAAGGAGAATAAAAACTTATAATTGTAATTATAACCTCCCACTGTCCAACTAATTCTAAATTGCAAAATGAGAAACTGTTTATAAAAAAATTAAAAGAACTTGCTACCTGCAGAATGGTGTAGTCTTCCCCTCTATTTGGTGGTTTGAAAGCAGTTTTCCAGCATGATACGTCTGTTTGATCTCCGACCTTTGCCTCAATGGCGCTAGACGATAACGTCGGTTCGTTTAAGGAGGATACGGCTTCTTGGGTTGGCTCCTCGGTGATAACTTTCACAAGAGAAGGATACTCAAAAATAGCTTGTTTTGCTTTCCAAACGTTCAATTCCTCCGCAACCACAGCCGCAATCGGTAAAAACAGCAAAATAAGGACCATGATGGCGCTGCCACAGTATTCTCCCTGAGTGAAAGTCACCTTATTCTCCACAATGATTATAATCATCAAGAACGCCGCCAGACCGAGTGAAATATAAAGGAACTTGTAAAACACCTTCAACTCGTTGGAGTGAGGGGTCACCTTCATGATCCGGATGGTTCGAATAAAAACCAACGATATCGCCGCCGGAAGCCAGCCTATCAGCAGAATCAATCCCTTGGAATCATCCCCGTAAATAGCTTGGTACAATTGTGTTATTATCGCGGCGCTAAGGCCGAGATAACCCTTGAGAATACCCAAAATGACGCAGCGACTCTGCGGAAAATTCTTTACGTTCGTCACTAAACTTACAGTGTCGGGGAACGTCTGAGAATTAGAGCCGATGAAGACGTATAGACACATTTGCCAGACAGCTGGTCGAGCGATTCTTTTCGTAACGGCTAGCCATATCATGAAGTAGCCAAAGAAGTTTAACACGACACCAAGGAAGAGAACGAACCAAAGAGGGGTTACCTCGGCTATTAATCCGGTAAGGACGCCAGTATTGAGGTCCTTGAAGAAACTGAGAAGGTTGAGGGTGGACTGGTCGTACCCTAGGGAGTTCTTGATGTCGCCGGAGTAGAGACTGAACACGTGACTGGCACCGGCAGCAGATGAAGTGAGGAGTGAGCCGAAGAAGATGAACCATGGACTAGTGATAATTTGAATGGCAAAAGATTTGATGTTGGGAAGACTGCTGGCGCCGCCGCCTCGACGATCAGGTACAGCCATTTTTATGAAGTTTAAACAA